CAAACGTAACTATCATTTAAATAATTAAAAAATCAATTAGGCAATATACAACTAACACGGTTACTTTTAAGAAAACTTTAAAGCAATTATTTAAGGCTAATAAATACTTTGATTAAAAAGAATTATATATGTAATAATATTATTATAAGAAATATTGGTGAGATCCAGAAATCTCATCTTTGATGGCAAAAAAAATACTTCGATTAAAAAGAATTATCTATGTAATATATTAATTTAAGAAATATTGGTCAGATCCAGAAATCTCTTCACTTCCTCATCGCTTCTTTATTTCTTTGAGAGTAATTTTTTTTGCAACAATTTGAGAGAGTAGAACCTTCTTAATGCAGTGTTCCCTGTAAACATACATATGGCACCTACTCTGTGTACACATATATTTGTACGTGGTCGCGTGCTGGCGCGCCTCACAGCTTGTTGCCAAAATGATGCTGAAGTTAAAGTTCTCGGGCATCGGTGATGTATTGGTATTAGTATAGGAGTATAGGTGTGCGTCTGTATCCATTTTTGTATGTATTGCCTGCTCGTTTCATAAATGTTTCAAACATTTGGCGGTCAATCTTTTATTTGGCAGCCGCAAAACAAAACAAAAAAGCACTTTGTATTTGGCTTCGTTTTTTTTTCCTGAGAAGCAACTGCCTTGTTGCTGGTTTTGATGTTGCCTCCGCTTGTCGCTGGTAGCTGTTGTTGCTGCCACTGCTGCCACTGCTGCCACTGCTGCTGCTCATGTTGTTGACGTTGTTATGTGGGTTGATTTTTAATTAATGGTGCTTCGTATGCGTTTTGCGTCGGAAAACTTGCGTCTCAACAGCCCACACGCTCCCAGATACATATAGTATATATATACGAGTATGTATGTATTGTACATGCATATATAAAAAGTGGAGTAGTAGTAGCAGGAGAAGGTGAAGCCGGACAAAGCCAGCAGCCAGATTTACTTATATACGCAGGTACAGTATGTATTCATTAAAGCTCCAGCAGTCTTTCACAGATTTTTTGGTGTTATTTTATTAAGAAACTACTGTATTAATAATAGAATATTTATCCAATTTGATCCAAAAACCAAACACTAGCATTTGATATCTAAAGATATTACTTCGACTGGGAGTTGAGAGCACACAGATAGATAGTCTGACAATATTAAATATTACAGGCTGGCTTTCAGTTTCTCATTTGGCAAAAATGTAGAATGATAAGTTTAAGTGCAGCTCCAAGCTTTTCTTTTCGAAATATTCACTAATTTATTGCCTAATTCCCTTTTTTCTTTGAATTTTGTTTAGCAACATTTTCAGCAATTGATGTCGTTTCTCATTTTGTTGCTTAGTTCCCTTTTTTATCTAGTAATTTATGTTCATTTTAAAAATTTTTTGCTTAGGTTCCCTTTTTCCTTTGAATTTTGTTTATCAACATTTTCATTCATCCATTTTTCATATACATTTTTCCTATCAACAATTCTAGCAATTTATGTCGATTTTCAAGATTTTTTGCTTAAATCCCTTTTTTTATGCAATTTTTATCAACATTTCCAGCATTTTGTGTCGAATTTTGTTGGCCCATTTGTTTATTTTTTATTCCAAAAATATTTCCGTTATCCTTGATTCACTGCATATCCATACTTAATGCTAACGTGCTTGAACGCTGCCTTTTGCTGAGTCCCACAATGCTCTTAGTCGCTGATAGCAAAACCCCGAAAAAAACATTAATCGATATTTTGCGGAAATCATAAAAAATTATTTATGTGTCCGCACACACTCACACACACACACACACAACTGCGTACACACACATAACACGAGTATGCTTGTTGGATTATAATATTTAATTGTTCCATTATTAATGGCCGCTGTGCGTGATGCGGGCCGCATTGTAAACAATTTTTGCAAACACTCATAATTAAATAAAACACATTTCCATATATACTTCAACTTAGACACGTATAGATTATAAATATCAAGGTATACCTACATATGTATGTATGTATATTTTTTTATGGGGAAACAGGAGCAAAAGTAAAAGCAATTTTCAATCACAACACAAATGTGAATGGCGGAGTGTAGTAGACGCAGACAGCTTAGTCGAATGAATGAATAACGTAATGAAGCGCCAGATTGATGGCGAAAGCTAGGGAGATGGGGCATAGAATGAAGTATCGTGCTAAGTAATCCATCAAAAGAGTGTGTCCATACCAAATCGCTACAGTTTTTTAAAAGAAAAACGCCGAGGGCATTCAAGTCTAGCACATTGATATTAAAGCAGTTGAAAATGTGAAAATGTAAAAATTAAGGTAAAAGGAAAATGTAAAAGTAAAGTTTCACCCTGTATATCTGTTGATAATTTGTATTTGTTGAGCTGTACTATTATTTGAGGACAAGCCGTATAAACTATTGCTACTTTCACTCCATTAAAAGCACTGAGTTAAAGGCTTACATATTTTATTAGCTGTGTTCGATAAAACATAACAATCTGCTGAGACTTTCACTCCATTAGGGGCAGAAAGAAATTTTTAATATTTTATAAGCTGTGTTCGATAAAAGAATAAAATCTTGCTGCTACTTCCACTCCACTCCAGGCACAGAGAAAAAAGCTAAAATAGTTCAAATACTCTATTGCATAAAAGATAAAAAATGGCTGCTACTTCCACTCCATTAAGGCATTAAGGCAGAGAAAAAAGCTAAAATAGTTTGAAAAAATAAAAAAAAATGCCTTGTTCATTGAATAAAATTATATATAAATACAATAAGCACTATTTTTAAAAAGACATTTTGATTGTCAACTTTTGGTAGCCATTGATTTTTAATAAAACGTGGGTCATAATAAAATAACTTCTTTTTCGATTTCTAAAAGCAAATTTAATGCAAATGTGCACATCTTGAGGTTGGGTTTATTGAACATTGAGATATCCTTTTAAATTATTATAAAATTACTAGACTTGCAGCTGTGCTTTCTTTAATAGTTAAAATTTGCGAAAACAGTTCTCATCATATGCTGCAAAGCTCTAATATATTAGCAATATAAGCAACTGAACAAATAAATTCTTCGAATCTAAGCACAAGTTATATCTAAAGATTCCTATTTTTAGCAATTTTCCTTAAAACAAAATACAAATCTTTTTCCATATGCAAGGGAGACGCAAAATTTGTTTTGTTTCCATGCTAAACGCTTTTGAAACCCATAGACATCGTTTTACATTAACACCACTTCACAAAATTTAATTAATTGACATAAATTAGCGCAGTCAAGGTCGAAGGTTAAGCGCCAGATTTGGTTGAGACCCAAAAATAAATGTTATTTGCCTGCGTTCCGCTCCACTGTGCCGCAGCAGAGCGTCTGCGGAAAATTATCCGCGCGGTAAACGAAGTCTATTGATATTGATATGAGCGACAAACCCAAATGGGGCAGCACACAATGAGCAATGAGGACGGACAAGGCACAGACAGACGAGGGTGTGGGTGTGAGGGCGGGAGTCTGGGGTGTGGGGTGCAATGGTAGAGGCAGACATTGTTGGGCACGCACCACACCCCACAACCACCTCCCACCACACCAGCTGCCGGCGCCATCAAAACTTTGGCTTGTGGGTAGCGGCGCACTTTAATTTCAATTTGCTTTACCGAACGCTCAGCCCCGCCCCACTGCCAAAAGTTTTTTGTTCTTATTCTCATTGTAGTTGTCGCTGTTGTTGTTCCTCCTCTTGTTGTTGTTGTTGCTGCTGACTGCCCCATGGCAATTTATTGTTTTCCACTTTACGCCAGTGTTCGTGAGACAGCCCCCAAACCCAAACCCACAGCCCACAGCAGCCACCCCACTCCCAAGCCGACCGTCTCTGTCATTGTTTTGTGTTTTTAGTGTCCCTTAAATTTGAGTTTGCTGCGTGCGCTTTGAGCTATTGAGCCACTTGTCATTCGCTGCGCTACTCGCAGGCAATTGTAGACGCATAAAAATGAAAGAGAGCGGCGGTTTGGGGTTGGGGGGCAGTGTTGCCAACATTTTAGAAGAAAAAAAAAGCTGTTTTTGACGGGAAGGGAAGCGAAATAAAGTGAAAGATTTACAATAATGCTTACAAAAACTACATTTCTTGGCTTGGAAAAATGAAGTTTTAAAATCACATTTTAAATGATTTTTAAATTCAAATTATTCACTTTTTTAAAAAACATTGTGAATTTATAAGTAAGCTAACGATATCTTAAGGCAGCTTAGCCTTTTCTATGTAATTAAACAAAATGAAGAAATGTAAAAAGTTAAACAACAACTGATTGTGTAAAGCGGGTAAAAATATACAAAAAACCCCATAAAGCTTAGCGACTTAAACCGACCTTAATAATAAACGAACTAAACTAAACTGCAGGTATGTAGAGAGAGTACTTGAATATAATGTTAAGGTGAGCAATCCTTTCTGTAACTAATTCAACTTTTGCTAGGGAAAGCTATAGATAATTTTAAATATTTTATTTTGGTTGACTTCAACTTAATGAATATGACAATTTGCAGAATTACCCAAAACTGGGTCCCCATAGGAGATAAGAGCTTTGTTTTCTATGCTAAAATAAGAATTTCTATTTATGAATGGGTATAAAACACGAACTAATATATTTGATTCTTACTGATATATCGAAAATAGTCTTTAAAAGTCATCTTTGTGAACATTTTAAATAATATTTGTACATTTTGTTGCACGCACTTTTGAAGTAAATTAAAAAATAAATAAAAAATAGTGATAAAGCTGCCTCATTTGAAATTTTGTTTACATAAATGTTGGCAAAAAAAACCAAATGATTTTTTTAAAAACCCGGAATTTCCGGTTCTTTCAATTTTTAATATTTTTCCGCAATTTCATTTCAAAAACACCCAGATGAGACGAGAAAAAAAGCCAAATTGGCAACACTGGTGGGGGGAGTTAAAAGGAAGAGAGGAAAAGAACTGGCCCTTCCTTATTATTTTCAATTGTTTTTTGTGTGTGTGTTTTTTTTTTGTTTCTGTAGGGCACTCACCATAACAGCGTTGCGCTTGAAATCCATAAAGTTCTTCACCTCGGCTGCTAATTCACGCAACAAAATGATTCCATCCTTCCTTTTCACTTCAATGTCGTTGTCCTTAAAGCGCTGTAGTGCACAGCGAGAGGGAGAAAGAGAAGAAAGAGGTGGAGAAAGAGAAGGAAAAAACAATTGTCAGTAAATTTGTGAATGTTGCAAACAATAAACTATAAAAATTTATAGCGTTCGCCTTCGGCTGCTCGCTTAACTTGATTTTCGTTCTTTTCTTCTTCTTTTTTTTGATTTATTTTTTGTTTCTGTTTTATGTAAAAAGGGTTAGAGGGTTATACAACTTTTGTTTTGCTTGCTGCTGCTGTTGTTGTTGTTGTTATTGCTCTTGTTGGACACATAAAATCCGTTTTCGCTTGACTGCAGGCTCCACAACTCTCAAAGTGCTACTTAAGTTTATATTAAACAGATTTTAATGTATCTTATTAATTTAATGCGATTTTCATTGGCTACGCTTGTGGCCAATGGGTTGGCAATTAACGGAGTCCGTTAAACTGGGGCTGGGTGCTAAGCTATTTGTTTTTGATTCTTGTTCTTTTCTAACTAATTGGCTTGCAAATTGTAGGAATTATGTGAAACTCCTAAAAACAATACACCCATACACTTTTCAGTGCTTGGTAGATATCAGATGAATACCTTTTATAATCATACTCTTAATAGTGATTATGTATTTATTAGAACCAAATTTTTGCTTTTAAGCAACATATTGAAGGTAATATTTAATTTATTATCGATTTTGGGACATAAGTTTGTGACACCTAAAAGAAAAAACTAAGAAAACTAAATGCTATTTGCACTGCAGCTTCTGCTTGAACGGGCAGAGATAATTGTTGTGACGAAACTCTTATAACTACTATAGAAACATATGACTTAGAAAGAGGGTTTTATATAAAAAACTTAATTTTTTTAGACATGCTTTCATGCCAATTGGATCGCTCTTGAACCAAAAATTGTGACCATTTATGTCCAAAAAGACACAAACTTTGGAATTGCCCTTGACTATGAAGGAATAAAGATGATATTGTGCCTCATGTATAAAAACAACTACTTAGCTAAACTTTTCAAATATTGACTGACTGTTGACTGTTTGAATACCAAACATTTTGTAATTTTTAATAAGAGAAAGCTAATTATCATTAAACTATTGGTATCTTCTAAAGACTATTTAATGATTATTTTAGAAATTTAAAGTATCTGTTAACCGGAAAGCGCAATATGGAATATTACAGAAATAAACTTGGCTTTTGATATAAATATGAATAAACATAACTCTTATATTATGTTCCAATTAACAATCCCTCAAATAACTACTTTTAAGATTAAAAAATTATACATACATTGCTGATTGAATGTATTGAGTAAGATATGAATAAATAAATTGTAAACCTTCGAAAAGACATTAAAAGTTTATATATTTTATTCATTATTTCGTAGCGCGACAAGAAAAATTGTTATAAATTATAGCATTATAGCATGTCTTGTGACTAAGACATAAATTAGTCTTTGATTTAAAATAATTTCATTAACCTACTTAATCTATTTTATTAAATTTAGAGATTAATTTAATGGATGTTGTATAACTTCCAATAGTTTATATTGGTTGATACATTTTTGTTAAGAAGAAATATAATTGTTCCCTACATTGCGTTGCTCTACCAATTTTCTTTAAATGTTGTGGTAGTTGATGCCACATACTGTTTTCAAATATATTTTTTATAAAAGAAATAAATAAATTTTGTTTATAATATACACACAAAAGACATCGATCCACAAAAGTATACTCCCTTCAGTGGAAGAGTTCTCATCAAAGTTTTGAATCAGGCAGACGCCATTCCTTCCACCCGCACCCGAATGCTTTGGAGCAAATAACAAAGACATTATCTGGGCGTTTTTAGTCCCATGTAGAATTTATAATGCCCTCTAGAATTATAACATACCCATATATGTATGCACATACATACATGTACACATAAGCGCATAGTGATGCAAACATTTGTGCCAGTTTTATTTTTTTGTACTCCTCTCCTTCTAAATATATAAGTTTAAACATACATATTTATATAGAAAGCTCTGCTCTGGCATTTTCTTTCCAACTAATGAATGCTTCAAAGAGTTTCATACAGTTTTAGTTTTGTGGCTTCACTCACACATAAACACTCACACACACACATACACTTGCACACACATTATTGCACATAGATAAATGCAAGATGCCAAGGAACAAGCCTTTTGGCTCCAACCACAAATGTTTGCGCTGTCTCTGGTGTATAAGTGTGTGTGTGTGAATGTATGTATTTGTATGTGTGTTTGTGTGCATTACAAAAAGCATACTGTCTTCTTTGGCAAACTTCTTAGAAGGCGTTCACTGTGTCTTCTTCAGTTTCAGTTTGGCTGCCGCTGCTGCTGCTGGCACTGAATCAGTTAAGAAAAGTTTTCTAATTAATTCGCTGGAGACATGTACAGCCACACATACACACAAACACACACATACAGCTAACAGTATGCCGATGCGCCAAAGCTATTCTAGACTGTTGAATGATGTGGGAACAGGGACGAGGTTCGGCAACGACGTTGATGATTGCAAATGCAGAGAACGACAGGCGGCGAGCAAAAATATAATTTAAGTGACAGTTTGTTTGAAAAGTGACACTTGTAATGCGCGTGGGCGTGGCAATATGGGCATAACTATTTCCACATTTTTTCACTCTTTTTTTTTTGCTGGCAATAAAATGCATAAAAGTCATAAAACGCATTTGCCAATTGCATTATTAAAATCCTTCTTTCAACTCTAGCTTTAACGAATGGCATTGAGTGTAAAAATAACAATAAATGAAAGCTAATACATATATGTACATATAAGATATCCTGCAACATAAGTAAAGAAGAAAACCTCTTGATTAGATAAGAAACTAAGTGTTCAGAAGAAGCTTGCCACAGAACTTAATCTAGTTGTTAGATGAAGAAACAAATGCTTTTTAATTTTTTAAATTTATAAAAATTGAGAAACTCAACAAATTCATCGGGGACACAAAATATACAAAAAATTAATGTAATTTTAATGTAAAAAGTATTGAAATATAAAAAACAAGTATCCCCTCTAATCTTATTTCTAAAAGCCGATACTATTTGCAGACCTTTAAAGCATACAAACTAATTAAGGTACATTTAATTTACACTCAGAAAGAGTGTCCAAATACTATTTCTTAGAGTTATATAAAAGAGCTATAAAAAAATTCCGAAAGAAAACGCCTTCATTTAAGGTGTTCTTTTTTCGATGAAAACAAATTTAACGAACAAAATAGAAACAAACTAACACACAATAAAATTTTAATAAATTACAAAATCAAAAATTAGCAGAATTGCTTATCATTTTGTGTGAAGGTTAAATTTTATCTTCAACGCCGAAACAAAAATATCAATTGCGTTTAAAAAAAAACTGCAGAATATCGATCATATTGATTGGTGGATTCAACACAAAGTGATTCCCAAAAAGTTTGCTATAATTTCAATCAAAAATATTGATATTTTATGATTTAACCAAAAGCCTAAATATTTTTTATAGTTTGTAAAGACTTTTATTGTTTTTTAAAAACCTCCACTAGTAAATCAAGTTATATCTGCATTCCTTCTTTGTCATTTCTGCAACTTCTTATCCCAAAGCTTAAGTATTTCCAATTACTGTTCCCTCCATAGTCCTTCAAATTTGTATTACAACATTAATCCTAGGATGAGATTAAAATTGCATTTGCAGCAAATGAAAATATGCAGACCATTATTGCAATCATTAAAGCAAGCTAGCCTTTCGATCAAGCAAACGATTCATTTATTTCAAAAGAAACTCATCAAATGTTGTATCGCCAAGTATTGAAAGCATTGCAGAAATGTTAAACATTAAAACAAATGACGACACGTACTTTCGTGATGACTACCATGATGATGATGATGAGGACGATGATGGGAAAAACAGCAACTACGGCAGATGACAATGTCGACTAACCTAAGAAAACTAAGCAAAATCAAGCAAAGGAAAATGTGTCAGCCATTAACATGGTCGCTGAATGCGATGCCTTCAACTCTGCAAGGATGTATATGTAGGTATAGGTATATACTATACATATACATATATATATATATATATATATATACGTATATATAAAATATGTCAACGGAAGTGGGCAGAATGATGGCAAGAAAATTGAAGAGAGAGGGGGGAGGGAGGAGGTGAAAGGCGCTGCTACTCGTAAAAGTGCAGTCTTAAATGAAAATGATGCGCAACGAAATGTAAAATTTAATTAGACGCATTAAGCTATGACGTTGCACTTTTAGCATAAAACTCTATAAGCTTGAACGCATATTAAAACAGCCATGAGTGTGAAGCTGACGAAGCTCCTGTCGGCCTTATTTAAAACATTGCACGAACGCTCGCCTTTTAGCTTTTATGTACATGTTTATAAATGTAATTATAATTATATATAATAGTTGAACTCTTAGAAGTGTATGTACTTATATTAAAAGCCTTCAATTTTAAAGGATGTCGAGGTAAAATTTATGTTGAATTTATTTGATTAACTTCTATCACGTGCTTGCTAGGAGTCCCATCTAAATTAAAACTTCATTCGACAATTAAAATATTATTAAAATATAGCCGATTTGCATCGATATTTTACAATGTAAGCCACAAGTCAACGAAGGTTCAGAGCATTGGATATAAAATCTTCACAAAAACATTTAAAATTCAAATAATTTAAATACAAATAATATATTTTATATCTATGAAGTTTTCTATTGCTGTAATGAAACTTTTTTCGTGTTCTTTATTTAAAATCTATACTGAGTTGAATAATTATTGAATTATTTAATTGATGCTAAAAAGTTTGAAATGTAATATCATTTTGGATATTTTACAAATTATAATAATTATGAAAAAAAAAGGGAAATTAATCATTGAAAAGCAATTATTAATAGTATAATAGAAAGTTTGAAAACAATTGTAAATAGACCAACAGAAAGTGAATAACTTTTTGGGATGGCGTTGTAGAAACTGCAATGATTTGACAAAA